CTATTTGAGGTGACGATGACGTGGAAGTAGTTACAGCAATTTTGGCATCGTAAAAAGTGACTTTTTGCGGTAATGGCGGCATTATACACTCTACATGTCAAGGAGGGTCGGTCGGACATAGGGGCGAGCAGAACTTCCGCATACAAACAAAAATAACGCCCTTAAAATTCAATCCATAAAGAGTGTTTCCCCTTAGAAGTGTGTGGATAAAGTAAAAAAGAAACTTGCCCGGCCTTGCCAGGCGGGTGTGATTACTACTTTAAGGGTGTATTACGCACCCAGTAGAACCACACCCAGTGGCTTTTTTGCAGAATCCGTTCGGTTTTGCTAGAAAAACCACACCCAGTGGCTTTTGGTGGATATCAATTTCAATTCCAGGTTGCAAAAATTTGAGAGAGTCAGCCAGCCAGAACCGGGGTGGACGAGTAATATGGTATGAGGAGCACGTAAAATTCGCATAAAAATCTTAATCTCCAACCAGAGTTTTCGAAACTAAAATTTAACGCTAATTGTCGTTTTTATCAATTAAGAGTTATTTCACGTTCAAGCCAAGAGAACAAACAAGAAAATGAAATACTGTGCACTTTTATAGCTGCACTATAAAATTAATTATTTTGTAAAACAAAATATTCCACAGGAGTAATGTTGATTCTGCTCCTGGTGGTGGTGATCAATGGACTATATTGAAAATCCTTTTCTTACAAAATGTGGGGTATGGATTAACCTATAATTTCAAATTAGGATGGACAAAGTCGTTTGAGAAATGGAAAAAGTGTTTTGACCAAAGGTATGTTGCACGTGGTAGGAGGCAATTGCTTAAGCGGGCAATACCCAAACTTAGGAAAATATCCACTCAAAACGTCCCAACATTTAGCACATCAACGTCATTAAGCCCGTGCCTAAATTCTAATTTTTCTCAGATTTTAAAATTTATTACCTTGAACTCCAACTTGGACTTTCCACGACAGTTTTTTTTATTATACGTCATATTTAATTCAGGTTTCTTAATTTCGTAAATGTTTCTTATTTCAAATTTCCTGACTCTGCTTTCAAAAAATCAAAATTAAAAAAAAAACCTTTAATTTAATCTGTGGCATCATAAAACAAACGTATTGGAATACTATCTGTGAGAATTTTTCTAAATCTTGAGAAAATTTGATTTTTAGTAACTGCTTAAAGATATTTTCTTAATTGCTGCCCCATTAAGTGGGTTTTAGCGGTGCAAATGTGGTCATAACATCAAAACACTTAGGGAGCTCATGTTCATTGTTTTCTCACTCATCTTTCTACTAATAACTATTGCTAATGTGGCTAAATGATTTCGTTAGTCATTTATTGAGAGTCATTACCAATTAAAAGTTTGAAATAAATTTAACCTTAAAAAGGATTTCTTAGGTGAGACTGGGTTATGTGCAATTAAAAGAATGAAATAACCCCCTCCCTCCTCCCATACTGGAGAGAAGGTTTTGGTAAAATGAGCATCACCGCCCTTGGAATGATTTCTGATTTGTGTAAAAATAAGAACGGTGATGTACCCGAATTTTGCACAACAAACCACAAAACAAGCTGATTAACTGATTCCGATCTGGAAGAAGAATAAATTAATCCCCACCCACACTTACAGTAGACATATATGCATATATGGCCTGTACGTGCCCCAGGAAGACAACAGTTTTCCTCAAATCAAGTGCAAAAGATCCGTCTATGATGAAAACCTGCAATTTTTTGCAAAAAATCTGGCCTTTATTGATATATTTTTCTTTCCTTGTACGTGGGGGGACTAGTATTGGATTGTTTTGTTAGCCCATGTAAGTATCTTAATTTTTCTAATTGGTAGTATTCAGCAATCTGTAACCGTTTTCGCAATATTACCTCCAGAACGTGTCAAAAACGTGCCGTCGAGGTGTCGGGTTTGTGGCCTAAAAAAGTGGTTGAAGGCAAGTTTTTTGAACTCTACCTTATTTATTTATTATTACTCCATAATAATCTTCAAAAATAACCGAAATTTAAAAAAAAGACGCGTGGCCTGTGAGAGCCAAAATATTACCTTGTCCTTTAATTCTGACAAATTCCGTGATATACACTACTTGTTTACAGAACTATTTGCTTGTCACCATCATTCCCAGGGCGATGATGCTCATTTTGCCAAAACCTCCTCTCCAGTGTGGGCGGAGTGGGGGGGGGGTTATATCATCCTTTTAATCGCACACGACCCAGTCTCACCTAAGAAATCCATTTTAAGGTTAACTTTGATCGAATAATTCATCAGTGGAATTTACAAAGTTGAGATTGCTAATGGGTATGATCACTCAAGTATCCTAGATTACAAAAATGTAAATTTTGTGAAAATCCGAGCAAAATAGGATTTTTGGTGACAGTTGAAGTGCATGAAAACAGATTTTTTCTCGTTGTTTACACCTTTGAGGGGGTGTGGCGGGCGCAGATTGGGCCATCACATTAATCCACTTCAGGGTTTTAGTAGGCTCATGAGGCACTAAAGCATATGCAAAGGCCATCAAGGATCGAACATGACATGTGGAGGGTCCCTCCTACTGAGGTTAAAAAAAAGTTGACCTTAGTATTGGATATCGCAAGGCAACTATCTGGGACTACAATGGTGCACAAATTTTGAAAATCGGAAGAAGATTGAATTTTTGGTGAAGGTTTTAGTACGGCTAGTTTAGCGTTGCGGACTCCTATGAGTGGGTGTGGCGGGAGAAAATAGAGCCGTTGGAGCAAACCACTTCAGGGATTTGGTGCACTACTGTTCATTCAAAATTAATATGCAGTAAAAAATCTGAAAGGTTATTTGGCCGAGGATTTTGAAAAATAAATTATTTTTCAACTTTCGCGTGATTTTCATTCGTTGTCAATGGCAATCAGCAACTTCGGCCATTTGACCTTTTAAAAAATTTTGAGGACTTAACTCAGTAAAGTTTACTGCATATTAATTTTGAACGAACAGTAGTTGGATACTGCAATATGTGCAAAGGGCATCAAGATCTTTTATTCTCATGTCGGGAGGCTTCCCTCCTGAGCGAAATCTATTGGGTAGTTACTTCGTTTGCACTCGTGTACCAGTGGTGCCGGTGTCGCTACATGTGAGACTGATTTCTTAAGAGCTCTTATACTGCAAAACATGAATTTATCATATTCAGAGTAAGCTTGAGTTTTGCTTTTATGCAAATTCCTACCCAATTGTATCTACATACGTAAGTTGTGTGTGTACCCAGTTCCTTCTCATCTACATGCATATATGTGATACTCATGACAGTATATTTACATACATACACATGTCCATATTATCTAAATGCATATATATCTATCTGCCTCACTATTTACTCCAGGCTTAATAAATCTCAATCGTGTGGCCAACTTAATATGGTTTTTCAGCAACCACCCAGATGTTAATGAACTACTAAACTTCCAACTACCCATTTATTTATTTCGGATGGGTCTTAACGACTTCATTTCTCATGTCAGGAACCTCGCCGAATTTATAAATTGGTTCAGATTAAGTTTACAAAAAAAAACAATATTCTTTAAATATTCTTCAACGAGTTAAAGGGTTAACCCTTTAACTCGTCGCTAAGACAATTGTCGTTTTATAAGAAACTGTTTAATTCGAGACAAAAGTCGTCCTGAAAAATCGTGGTCATGGTGCGGGAGTAAGGCAATTGTCGCTTCTGGAAGGTCATTGATTTTCACAATTTTCTCGCCTCGCAGTAAAACCTGTTGGAATTTATGGGATTTCTCCTATGCCAACAAAATGTTAAATTTGAACATTTTCTTACCGAAATTATGGATATTTTCCAATCTAACACAATGTTGAATTTTGAATTTTTCAGTTTTTTTGAGTTTTATTAAAACTCGTGAATTCCTCCTCCCATACCATGACCACAACATATTTATAACGTCCATGAATTAATGCATTTTTTTGGAGTCAATGATACCTGTTAAAGGGTTAACTTATTTACCTACGAGATAGTTTACTATTTTGTCCTAGTCATCTACAATTCCGACTTGTTATTACCGGTTTTTGTACAATATGCTATTTTAAAATTAATTATTTTACCCAAAAATCCATACGCATTCCATTACGCTGGTGTGATACTTGTGGTATCGTTATATTTTGTCATTCGAGTAAAGAACAAATATTAATTCAGCATACTTATCATGAATGGCCTAAATATAGAGATATCCTCTTATCTGCCACGTGTGACCTTTATGTTCAGGAATCAGTTGGTAACAGTAGTTGGCGTTATCTTCACCTCTTCATATTATCAGGGTTGGCCAAGACACTTTGACAAGATACAGGATACAAGATACAAGATAGTATTGTATCTTGCATCTTGTGTAATGTGAGCAGCATCTTATCTTGTACCTTGTGTAATGTGAGCAGTATCTTATCTTGTATCTTGTATCTAGAATTTTCGAAAAATGTATCTTGTATCTTGTCAAATTACAATGTATTTAAAATACTAGACAAGACACAAGATACTTTTCCAGTGTAAACTAGCACAACCTGGTGAAAAATCAGGGAATTTTCTTCGTATGTACAAATACTGAGCATGTAAAACTGGGATATTTTTTATATGTTATTTAAAACTAGGAATAATAGAAAAATTTAAAAAGTTGAAAGAAGTTGATAATATAAAAATTGCTGCACAATTGCTGCACAATGTTATTACAGTTTTTCCAATTCCCGATTGCAAAAGTATCTTGTATCTTGAGAAAAGTATTTCAAATACATATCTTGTATCTGGAATCATCCATTTAGTGAAAAGTATTTTGTATCTTGTATCTTGTGCAATTCTCACTATTTGTATTTAGTATCTTGTATCTTACGGATTTGTCCAAAATATTTTGTATTTTGTATCTTGTATCTTAAAATCAAAGTATCTTGGCCAACCCTGCATATTATGCATTGGCATTTCTCTGATAACCACTTCATTGGAACGTGTGCATATCTTGCGTTAATTTTGCACAATCTTTTCAGTCCAGTATTAGCTCCAGCCTCAAATAGGACGGTTTATGTTTCATTCTCAGGTTTAAGCTCTTTTGATATTAAAGTTTATCAATAACTTTCTATCATGCTGAATTAAATAAATCCTTTATTAAATTCAATATATTATATGAAGCAGCAACATAACATTTCCTCTTCAAGTTTTTAAAATTGTTGATACAGAGTTATTTTTAATTATATAAAGCTCATAATGGACCGTACCCCAGGGGAACATGACTGCCTTATGCCTACCAACTTATCTAAAGGAAAAACGAGCGAGATTGTTACACCTGTAGGCCCCAACTCTAATTTGGCTGGAATCAAACAGCCTCATCCTCCTCCATATGCAGGTGCACCGTTTAATCAGACAGAGTCAAATCCTGTACCTGGAGAGATTCAATCCAGCATGATTCAAAAACCCCGAAGGGTAATTTTAAATGTGGGTGGAGATCGACATGAAATTTTGTGGGACAATTTGGCGCGTTATCCATACACCCGTCTTGGACAATTGGGAGAGAGGTACAGGTCACTTGGGGTAAATGAGGTGTTAAAAGTTATTTAAATAAATTGACTTCAATAAAATACAATAAGGCCTGCCATTTGCATGAGCAATCGTACATAGTTTCTGAAATTGCAGGAAAACCGTAAAGTTGATTATAGCTCAGATGATGAAATTTTGAATCTGTGTGACGACTATAACTTGACTGCGAATGAATATTTTTGGGACCGACAACCTCGCACATTTCCATTCATCCTAAACTTGTACAGACGGGGCAAGCTGCATTTTCCTGAGGATTGTAAGGCACACCAGTTGAAAATATAGTATTGAATATACTTTTGACAAAATCATACAGTATGCGTGTTGGAATTTGACGAGGATTTGCAATATTGGGGAATTGATGAGCTTTACCTTGATTCTTGTTGCCAAATTAAATTTCAGCAAAAAAAGGAACAGCTTATTGCAGGTACTCTGATTTACTTCATTTTTAGATATATTTTTACAAAAGAAGAAAAACATTTGGTTTAGAAATCAAGAAGGATGAAGAGTTTCTGTCTTCTCACAAAGGTATTTGGTAGCACTTCTTAATTACTACCTAATTTCTGAGGTTTATCAAAATACATAAAAGTAACAGGGAACCTTAAAAAGCAAAAAAGCAAAGATTTTTTTCTGCTTTTTGCTGTTTGCTATTTTAAGAGTCGCCATCGAGCGGCGTATTATATGTACCACTACACTCTAAACAATCTGGTAATGGCTATTACCGAGTGGTGACTATATATGACTCTACCGCATTGGTAATGACGTGCATTACATGTTGGTAATATTTTATTACCATCACGGTTATAAATTGTTATCGCTTAGTAAAGAGTTGCAACCACCTGGTAATGTTTTATTACCAAGCAGTAAGAAAATTGTTACCATGCTGGTAGAGTCAAATATTATAACCAGATTTTTTTATTTTTTTAAGAGTGTACACACCATATTAAATATTTTTCAATCAAGCAAAACAGCGAAAAAAGGTTGGATTTTGTTAAACAAAAACCCTGCTTTTTACATTAAATTATTAAAAAATCAAAATGCTTTGCCGTTTTGCTAGGTAGTAACCTGAAAATTAAATACTTTACATAATTCGAATCTGCTTTATTAACACAGAAGAAGACTTTGGCAAAGGAATGATTTCAGGAATGAGAAAATATTTATGGAATATGTTTGAAAAGTATGGTTTAACCTATCATCTTATAATTTATCTGGTTATCTATTCATTATTTATTATTTGTGATAATTTTCAGGTCATCCACCCTACCACAGAAGGTGCGTTATTTAAGTATATCTAAACACCCTCACAAAGGCAGAAAGTTTGCTGTCACAATTTGATATTTATGTATATGTGATTCCCGTCAATATATTTATTTATTAACAAATACGGAAGATAAAACATAAAAATTATCATCTTATTGGCTTATGTCACAGATTACCGGGATGCTCTCAATCATTATCATTGTCCTCTCCATTTTGACTTTGAGTCTTTCCACTGGTAAAAATTATATTTACTTAATCTTTTCTTGATTGCGATTATATTTTCTGTGAACGTATTTTATATGAACAAACCCATTTTAGTAAATTACATGTTTTCTGCTTTAGTTCCAGAGTTACAAGTATTTAAATGCAAACATGACAATGAATCTTTTTGTGAGGATTTATTAGCGTCGGACGACAATCCCAGTCCAGGGCAACATTTTATCCTAACAGACAATGAGATTTTGGAAACCCTGGAAATGGTTTGTATTATTTGGTTTACTGCCGAATACCTCATCCGTCTTTTCGCGGCTCCAAGCAAGCGCAAATTTTTCTGCGGGGTTTTAAACAACATTGACCTTCTTGCCATTGCGCCATTTTATGTGTCACTTTTCCTCGTTCAACTCGATACACCTGGTCGTTTAGTTCAAGTGTTGCGAGTAATTCGGATTCTGCGAATATTTAAACTTGCCCGCCACTCCATAGGACTGCAAAGTTTGGGATTCACGCTTCGTCACAGTTATAAGGGCTTGGGCGTTCTGTTTTTGTTTCTGAGTATTGGGGTCGTCATATTTTCTACGTTGGCATATTTTGCGGAGAGGGAAGATAATAGTGAAGGATTTGGAAGTATACCACAGACCTTCTACTGGGCATTCATTACCATGTCGACAGGTTCATAATTTTGACAAAAAATATATAATTTGAAATCTAATTTGAATTTGTTCGTCTAGTGGGATATGGAGACGTCACTCCAAAAACGACTTTTGGAAAAGTTATTTCAGTTATCACCGGAGTTTGTGGCATTGTGGTCATCGCATTACCTATTCCCATTGTGGTCAACAATTTTGGTCTGTTTTATGAAGAACAGAAGCGTCAAGAAAAATCGGTTAAGCGACAAAAGGCATTGCAGGAATTGAAGGATACCGAAAACTCGAATTCATGGAAGGGAAGTTATATGAAAATTAGAATAGTTGATCCATTGGGATTAGATGAGAAGAAGGGAAAAATTGAAGAGAAGTAAGATTCAAAAACTGTACTACTAGAGTTGTTGAGTCGCAATGCGACTTGTTTCAATTGAAACCGTTTAATTCTTAATAAAGTTATGTTCCTTAATATAATAACATTTATAGTTTAATACATATATGTTTAATATAACATTAATATTTGTTTGTTTGTTTGTGCAATAAATCATTTTCAACCGCTCAAAAATTCAAGGAAAATTTAGAATAGGCTAGTAGAAATATTTGGATGCAGAAATTGACATCCGTTAATAGAAATAATAGACAACGCACAACGTAAGAGGTGCATCATTTAGGGTACCCATTTAACGATAAATTTAGTTAATGTTACGATATATAAAGTTGACCACAGGTTTACTTCTTGGAAAGTGGGATACATTTTTAAGAGTGCAGGGGGTGTGGTTATGTGCGATATTTTGATTTTACCTACACCCAGACATGCCACCTATCATTTTTTCAAGCAGGATGAGGGGATTCCATCTAATTTATCGAAAATTATAAACCACACCTCCAAGGGGTGTGGTAATTGCAGACTTAGGTCTAAGTCAACATAGACATGCGATATATCATTTTTTCAGACAAGATAAGGAGATTCCTTATGTTGAGTGTTTTATAGCAGTTTCATTCTAATATGTCAACATCGGTTTAGAACTTGGTAGCGTCGCAATAAATCCGTTTTAGAACAAGATACATATGTATTTCACCAAAGCAGACTGAAAGTTATCGAGTTTTTTGATCGTGCATCTATTTATTTATATTATTAATAGCTTCGCAGGTGCAATTTTACCAGAGCTTCCTTACACAATATTTATACTAGGTTTCAAAATATTTCACAATTTGCCAATTGATTGGCTTTCGGTCATTCTTTCCGCTAACATAATTTCTTGAACTGTATCTCCATGGTTTCGAATTTATTCTGTTCGATTACACAATCGTTACCCCAAAAATTGGAGTATGTGAACATATCGTCTCTTTATCAATGATGATTAAATTCCGTTCACATCACCTGCTAGAGAAACCAAAAATATTATACGGTTATTTGATTGGGTTGCAAAAATCATTTATTTTATATTACATATTTCTAGTTTGACTTCCTTATATTACATACATAATTTCACATCGGGCAAGAACATGGGAAATAATTATTTGCAAAACTTTATATTACAATAGAATTAAATAATATATAATACATCAGAGCAACTTATCCCTCCAGATAACCAATTACACAAATGGGAAATAGTGTACAGATGGGATAAAGTCCAACCATAGTGCTAGGAACCAAATACAAGAAAACTTAACATTCAAATTTTCACAAAATGGCCACGCGTTCAAAACTTACGGACGTCTGGCCATTTCTAGAAAATATTAAAATTATAATTATGACTTAGCTTTTATTGAAATTGCATGATTCATGGTGTACATACTGTACATGCATCTATTCCTCTGTTATAGCCTACTTTTTATAACAAATCCGATGTTTAATTTTAAAATATACTAAAATTATCAAGCCTTTGAAGTACATCAAAAGCTTTAACCGACATTCCACTACCAAATAAATTGTTCCCAAGGTAGCGGAACATCACACAATATGAAGGCTGTCAAAAGCGATCCGGTCACTGAAACTGGCAATGCTCCGTGTTGATAATTATTTCTCTGTACAATGGCCTTCCTGCCCACATATGCATTATTCCTTTGTTCCATTTCCAGCCTGCGATATATACCAGATTCCAGCATAAACTTGAAATATGTTGGAACCTTTGAAATTCCTTCGTTAGTTAATAGTAGTTTAAATGGTAACGCGAATATGAGGTCCCCCTTGTAGAACTGCGTCCAGGGATAGTTCTTCTGCAGAAACACTAACTCTGAATGTACCGATTCTGACGTTCCTTCAAACACCGCCTTTTCCCCCCGACACAATTTCATTCTCCACTAGTTTTCGCACGGTTTCAACTGTGTATGTTGAATAGTTTACTGAAGCGGGAGTATGGGCATGCATTGGATTAAGCAAATTAAACATCAAATCAGAAACGGGACTAATGAAGTGCTCAGATAATGTTTTCCTGCCACTTGGGGCACCTGGATCCAGCAGAGAGGTATGAATACCGTAAAGCAAATCTAAGAATTCCGGAATTTGTCGTTTACCATATGCGACATTGACTAGCTTTGATAGTAATTTAAAACAGTCAAAAGATGTTATTGGATGGAGCAAGGAGATATTTGGTTGAAGGTTCCACATAAACTGGCGGATCTGTGTGGTACGCTTTATGAACGTATGTATCAAGGGCGGATATATTTCCTCCAATGCTTAAGACGTGGTCAGGATTTTGTTTTGAATGTTTTAATTTAGAGCATACCAAATCATTAAACGTTATGGGATGTCTTCCTGGCAATGGAGCATTAAGTTCTGAAGTCATTATTCCATTGTAGCAATTCGTTAAGAAAACCGACATTAGACACCACGCCCCCAATACTATGCGAAAGAATGTTTCTTTTGCAACACAGGTTGGAACGGGAAATCCCTCCTCGAACATAGTTGCCAGTAATAACAACCACACTGGAAATCTGTATAACTTTGCAAAATACATTGAAACGATAATACAGAGAAGAACTATCCCAATTCCAACAGCGCACCATAATTCTGGCTGAAATGGTGTAATATAAAATTGAAATGTTATAAATTTTTCTGTGTAACAAGACAGAAATTCTATGGCACTGTATTTAGTGACAACTAAAGTTTGAGAGTAGCCATCAGACCCAGAACGCATTGGTACTTCGTGATTTATATAAGCGGTCCGTTTCATATTTATAAGATTGACGTGCTTCTTATGGGCTGGAATTATTGTGCCATTAATCCGTTCGAACACAGCGGAATACAGATATGTGATGTATGATTAGTTTGCGGTTGCTATGAATGGATTCCTTGGAACTCGGCAGGTATACCAATCGATGGACCGAATTACAAGACAAGCCAAAATTTTGGTGGAGATGCAAAATAAATTAATTTGTCGACATTAGATGCTTTCTGCAGACAAATTATTTCTTCTGGACTGTGTTGATGCTCAAGCCCAAGCCCAAACGGATAAATGCATAAATGAATTAAATTTCTGTTTGCAAAATAAGCAATCCAAACGTAATCTAAACTACCAAACATTAATTGTATATAAAAATACTGCAACACAACAACCTCGGGTGAATATGACCCAATGGTTTGTACAGCTCCGTCGGCAATGAATAATAGGAATAATTTCTTCAGCCGCGTCCACTTTGTGTTGCCTGACTCTAAAAAATATTCTGATAACTATTCAGATTTAGCTGCAATGCCCTGGAACTCAGTGTTAACAATTTGCAGGTGAAGCAAAAATATCAAGACGAGTTTGCATTTAGCAATGCGCCCGTTGTGAATATTTAGACCTGGAAAGTTTGACGGGGCTCTATAATTTGTAATTATTGTGGTAGGAAGCAGTAGATCTTTTTCTATGTGACACTGGTATAAATTAATTTCAAACTTATTTCCATCGTCAACAAATTGCACATCGCAATTTGAATTAATATCGACAAAGTTTTTTATCAAACACCCGTCATTGCCTTTGACCACGTTTGCCGCTGTAAAAATAATGTATGAAATAAATAATGTTTGATATTTTCCTTTCTAGATTTTGAACTAAGGTTTTGGAATTTCAGGACAAACCACGATCGCTTTGTCACTTCGTTTAGAGTCGCTTTTCTAAAATGTAGCTAAAAGCACTAAAAATTTCATTTATATAAAATGTTTGTTTAGCGTGTTTGAAGGTTGTCTCGTGTCTATATCGGCTAAAGCATTTTAGCGGACAAAGAAAGGGCGGATTTAGACCTGATGGAATCTGTTAATAATTGATGCAGCAATGTGATACTATAACTGATTGATGTTAATGTTAACACGCCATTGTTGTGAACAGACTGCAAGGACATTTTACAAAATTATGCAATGTATATATACATATCTCTAATGTTAAAAAAACAGTATATTATGGACGCATATCACTCCGTTGGTGGGAAGTTATAACACCTTGGTACTTATAGACTTGTAAATTCTGTATTACATGGTGTATGAGGTGCGCAATTTATATCCTGTGATGCGCAAAATATTTTTGTCTACGTGTCAATTCCTATTTTGTTGGCATGTTTACTCCTACCCAAGCGAGTCATGGTCTCGCTGAATAGAAGGCAATGTACACGCAAAGAATCCTTAATTAGAATTAAGTTTTCTAAATCGTCAAAGAACTCTAAGCTTACGTGTCTGTTGGGGCAAATGCATCCTTTTGCTAGTGCAGTACAATGAATATCTTGCTAGTTAAATATTTATTTGTTGATATGAAAAACTTACTGCTTAGCCAGTTACTGCTTTCCAATATTCAGGCCAGCAGTTTTATAACAAAATCCCATAACGTTATTAAAACTTGCCGTAATTGTGATGTCAGAGCGTTGCTAAATTAAGACCTGCATCCATATTTTTGGTGTGCAAGTGAACCTTGTATTTGGTATCGATAATTGTGTACAAAATTCAATAAGCGCACATGTGGCTGGTGCAAATGCATTTTCTGGAGGGCAAATTTACGGCATTGCATTGTGGATTGTGGGTTTTGGAATTTTTATTTATTGTAAATATTAGGTATTGTAGCATTTTCATTGTGGTTGTCTCACAAATTCGCAGAAGCTCGAGATAATTTGTGTTAGTATTGTATGTATGTATGTATGTATTATGTGTGGGGGACCGTGTTGACAGAAGCCCATCCGCTAAAATCATCTTTCGAGATCTATTTCAGAGTTACCCACATGTACACCGTATTGGTCTTGGCTACAGTTTCTGGTTATTCTCTCCATATCTATTGAAGAGATGGGAGAGTTAGAAACCCATTAGGAGCAATGCCTGAATGATGTGGCCGGACCTACCAGCGTTATTTCAGCTGAGCCCGTACCATCTTTAAATCTCACCATACACTCCCACCACCCACAAATACGTTACTAAAACTTTACTATATGCCCCTTTGGATGCGAAGACATACATTGATAGGTATGCCTGCTCAATCCACTCGACAGATCCCCAATAGCTCCGCGTGCCGACCTATAGTTCACTGGTAGGGCAGCCAGCTTCTCCCAGGACAAGAATGACTGTGGGTCTACCCATCCTGGCTCTTCGGTTGTGCATAAGCG